TCCGAGCCGTCAGCACAGAGCCCGACGCGGGGCTCGAACCCATGAGCTGAGACCACGACCTGAGCCGAAGTCGGATGCTCAACCGACTGAGCCACTCAGGCACCCCTCCAGCTGACTTTTTAAAGTTTTGCAGGCCTTGGCCAATAAAAGAGTGGAGGCCCAGCCTGGACGCTGGATCTGGGTTCAAAGCCTAGCACAGCCGCTCACCAGTGTTGCTACTGGCCTGCAGATGGGTCTTCATAGCAAACAGGAAGCTAGTATGAGATCCTGAGTGTGCAGAGGCAGGGTCACGGCTACGCCACTACCTGGAGAGGTCCACAGTGGCTGGGTAGGTCTGGACCAGAGGTCACAGGGGGGACCTTAGCAGAAGCACCTCCACTTACAGGTTTCCAACTTGGGAAATTTTTTAAATTTTTTTAAATGTTTAGTTTTGAGAAGCAGAGAGAGACAGCATGAGCAGGGGAGGGGCAGAGAAAGAGAGACACACAGAATCTGACACAGGAGTCAGGCTGTGAGCTGTCAGCACAGAGCCCGACACGGGGCTCGAACCCACGAACCGCAAGATCGTGACCTGAGCCGGAGCTGGACGCTGAACCGACAAAGCCACCCTGGCGCCCCTCCGACTTGAGAAGCACTTAAAGAAGAGAGCACAGCTAAGGCGGGACAGCTCTGGGACCATGATCCCTCACCGACTAGGTACAGTTCCCAGGTGCCCTGAGATGGCGGCCCGTCCCCTAGAGTCCTTCCTCTCCTCTCCTCCCCTTCTCTGTACAGAGCTCCCAAATTCTAACCCTTGCAACAAGGTGTGTTCAGGTGACAGGGTTCTGGCCAATGGGATGTAAGCCGAAGTGCCATCCAGGGCTGAGGCCTGCCCTTTTCCCTGCCTCTTCCCGCTAGCCGGGATGCAGATGGGATGGCTAGGGCTGGAGCAACCATGTTGGGCATGAGGTGAAGTATGGAGAGGAGATCATGAGCAACAAGAGGAGAGGGGCCTAGGTCCTTGGCATCTGGGAACATAGCACATGTCCTGAACTGCCCCCCCAGAGTCCCATGTAAGAGGGAAACGAACTCAGATCTGATTTAGCCTCTGTTATCGTGCACCTTTACTCCTTACTTAATCCTCACTATCCATCTAAGTCCTGGGAGTGTAAGCAGCCTGCCAACTCCGGAGCGGGTGTCAGGTCTCTGGCAGGGAGGTGGCTTCCCACCCTCCGCCTGTAGGTCTGCTGCCTGCAAACCTGTGAAAGCTGATTGAAGGTCTCCCGGGTCTGTGAGGTCTCCCTCCTCCTCTCGTATCTGGGTGCCGTGTCTCCTTTGAGGGCCGCCCAGGGCAGCAGAGCCCCAGTGCGCTCAGACTACACAATGGGCTCCAGGAAATGACGGCTCAAACTGCTTCCTCAGGAAGAGGCTCCCTGACCTATGGTCTAGGTCAGGTGCCCTGTCTCCCTGCTATCTATCTGTCCCCATTACACCCCCAGCGGGCTTGGTGCTGAGGACATCATCACAAACCTGCTTTTCCAGAGCTTATTGCCTACTGGGGAAGGCAGACAATCAACTGATAACAGCACCGGGAGAGCTTGGCCAGCAGTTAGAGGCCACCGAGGCAGTCCAGGCACAAGGGGCTGCGGCCGAGCCGAAGCCAGTAGCAGTGGGGTGGGTGAGTCTGAGTGTCCCGAGAAGGCTTAGGGACCAACTGGCAGCGGGGGGCTGGGAAAGAGAGAAATTAAGGCTGATTCCCAGGTTTCTGGCTCAAGCAACCGAAAAGGTGGCAAGACAGAGACAGAGGCCCCGGAGTGTCCAGGCCGGGGGACGGGGCCAGCCGAGCCACGCTGTGTTAAGTGGTTGGCGTGGAGGCCCTGTATCAGTCGGGAAGGCCAAGTGACACTGTGCTAGCACCTCACTGTGCCCGCCACGGGCCGGCAGGGGGTGTGCTTTGCACAGTCACCCAAGATGGGGACCCATGGGGCCGTCTCTCGGTGGAAGACTCGGAGGCCACCTCCGCACAGAAGGAACCACGGCAATGTGCACACGGCGCCTGACACTGGCCACGTGACATCACAGCCGGGGCAGGGGACGTTCCTGTGTGTGCTGGAAGGGGCACGAGCACAGTGAGGACCGTGGCTCCCACGCTCAGCTGGCTGAGGGACCCGCTGACCGGCACCCCTGCTTCCAGGGCTCCTTCATTACCCGTCCATTCGTTCACTCAAAAGACACATCCTGAGGGCTTTCCCTGTGCCAGGCATGCCAGCTGCCAGGGGACGGAGATGAAAACGGACAGGTCCTGTCCCTGAAGGGCTTAGGGTCCAGTCCGGGGCGGGGGGGGGGGGGGGGGGGGGGGGGGGGTCATCAGATGGCCTCTACCCTGGTGACAGCAGAGGATGCCCGGAGCGTGCACCCAGGGCTGGAGCAGGAAAACGCTGGGAACTGAGCCTGGAAAGGCCCACAGGAGCTGAGAGCCAAGCGGCAGGGAGCAAGGGCAGGATGTGAAACCTGGGCCGACCAGAGACTTCTGGGTAGAATCAGCCCGGAGAAGGGGTAGCTGCAGGAGGTGGGAGGGTGGCGCTGCAGAAGCCCGAGGAGCCCAGGACGGTGCCCCAGCTCCTCAAACAATCGATTTTCAGTAGACGGTCACGTACCCGTTTCCCTGAAATGGGGACGAAGGGAGAGAAGAAAGGGTTTCCAACATGACACGAGTGACGAGTTTAATAACAAACAGAGCGCGGCAGTGACCTCTCTGCCACCCGCACAGCAGCCCCGTGCCCAAGTGACGAGACTCCGGCCGGCGGCCGACGCCGGGTCGGCGACGCCACGGCGCAGCTGTGACAAACACATTCACCGCCTGACCAAACAAAATCACGTGGCTGCGGACTGAGGCCAGTGCTTGGAGATCTGCAGGCCCCGAAGAGGTCACATGCCTGGACTGCGGGCCTGAGTAAGGAGGAAAGAAGAGAGCAGCCAAGGTGCCCTAAGGGGACAAAGCAAACAGGTGCACGGAGCAAATGAGCGAGTGGGGCCTAGGAGAGAAGGGCCTCAGCGTCTCTGGCCCTCCCGGTGGACACGCTCAGATTCAAATAACCAGAGTCATTTTCTCAAAAGAAAAACCCCGAGGGGACAGACTGGGCTTGGAGCTTCTGCTGTCCCAAAGCTGCCTCTGTTCTGTCATTCAGTGCCCTGAGTGGCTGCCTCCCGACACAGGACCCAGGTGATGGCAGTCCCACCCCCCCCAGCTGACCCTGCTCTGGGAGGGTGGCCACAGGGTCCGGCGCTACGCCAGGCTGGCGGCGGGTGCTTATGTGTGTTTTTCATCTGGTCCTTCCGGTATCCTGAAAGGGAAGGGCCCTTGACAAATGTCCAGGCTGCTGGATTAAACACATCCCCAGGAAGCATTTTGTTTCACCAGGAGGCATTTCGAATCTGGAGTCATTCCCCAGTCCCCCCACCGCAATGAAATTATAAAGTATACCATGATCTCCTCAATGACTGAGATTTCACAGATGGGAAAGCTTCTAAGATAAGAAACCCAGAAGAGTCTCTTAACCAGCTTTTGCTGTTTGCCGAAATGCACTCTTGACAAAAAGTAAATATTTAATAAGAGTTGTTCAATGCACTTACACTTATGGTCGTTACCGAAGGCAACTTTTATGATGCGCTTGATGGAAGATGCCGAACGAGGGTGACCACGGTCTGAGCCGTGGGCTTGGATGGAGGAGGGAGCACGA